CCATATAAACCATATTGCATATAACCATATTGCATATAACCATATTGCATATAACAATATTCCATATAACCATATTCCATATATCCATATTGTATATAACCATATTCCATATAACCATATTCCATATAACCATACTGCATATAACCATATTCCATATAACCATATTGCATATAACCATATTCCATATAACCATATTCCATATAACCATATTGCATATACCCATATTCCATATACCCATATTCCATATAACCATATTCCATATAATCATATTGCATATACCCATATTGCATATACCCATATTCCATATAACCATATTGCATATAACCGTATTCCATATAACCATATTCCATATACCCATATTCCATATAACCATATTCCATATACCCATATTCCATATAACCATATTCCATGTAACCATATTCCAAATAACCATATTCCATATAACCATATTGCATATAACCATATTCCATATAACCATACTGCATATAACCATATTCCATATAACCATATTGCATATTCTATCCTTTGATTCTATCCTTTAATCCTGCTTTTGTATTTTAGGACCTATTTAAAAATTCACTTTTCTTCCTCAATCGTATAGCATGAGTAGTAACTATTTTAATGTTTTTGCAAATCAAATATTAAACCAACAGGCAAATGAAAGCTGTTTCACATCAAAACATGAATAATTTGGTGTCTATCAAGTTTATGATTGTACAGATTAATGATGAACTATAATAGTCGAAGATAAGTATTCATCTCAATCTGGTGTTTAAGGGAGTCTGGGATTTAACCATGTGGTGTTTTATTCTTTGTACACGGGTTGCATAAACAAATGCATACCCTTACACCTATGGTCATACCATAACAATTGTGCCTCTGGTTTTATCAAAACCCAACTAGCTACAATGGCATGTGAGGCGTATACTCTGAATTGCTGTAAAAATACGGTAATATTGTTACGTATTTATAATTTCTGTGTGACATAGTACAGGGGAAGATTGATTTCATATTGTATATAATAGAAATAATATAGCTTGTGGACTGGAAGATTAATGTTCGCAAGATGAGGGCGTCGTGACATACTGATTTTGTGTGTTTTGTTAATTTGGAGGTAAAATATTTAAGTTATAATATATTGTGATTAATTGTAATTTGGTCGAGCATATTTACTGCGCAGATTGTGGATTACTGTGATGTGCTGATTGTGTGTTCGCCACTCATGGCATGGCTGGGTTGCTCTTCTTTACAGAGTCTTGCAAGTGAACTGGCCGATCAAAGAATTCATGAATTCCGAAGAGGTTTATTGCTCGTCAGTAAAAAAACAGTTTCTCGCACTGTAAGTACACCTGTCCAATAATCTAGATTTTGTGTATAATGTTAATATTTATTAATCCATGCCTGTACTTGCTGTCATTACTGTCATTGATGTCAAGAACGAAATTTCTGGACTAGTGTAATAAATCTAGTTTTGTACTTAATGTGTATCATTCTTCCATTATCGGAAGTAGGGGCTCGTACCATATGTAAGTCTCCGGGGTTGAGGCCGAATTTCTAATTGAACCTTGGCCCAGGGACGTAACAAAGACTGTACAAAAACATGTGTCCAATTAGCAGATTTGCAGCTGAGATATCACATGCCATGGAGGGACAGCTGATATTGTTCTATAGCCAGGGCTACTACCATTATCCTTTTATATCAGAATATAGTAATACAATTCTCTACAACGTTTCGCATAGGATTAAATGAGATTTGTTCCATGTTTTCCACACTGCAACATGCATCTTCCAATTGTATTTTGGATGCAGTCAGGATATTGACCATTTCAGTGTGCAAGCAT